TGGCCTATGCTTGAGAGAGGAGGTTGAAGGAGGGAGGGCATAGCCATGGTGGACTTGTTGTTGTGGTTGGGTTGTGAGTTGAGTCAGCAGTAAGGGGGAAACTTCGGACATTGATTCTGGTCCATCCATTCATTGTTATTATTATTATTGAGAGAAAGTAAGATTGGTGAAGAGGAGGAAGAAGGAAGGTGGAGAGAGAAAGGGGAATTGTCATTGGTCTTGCTGGTGTACTTCTTCTTCTTCTTCTTCTTCTTCTTCTTCTTCTTCTTTTTCTTCTTCTTTACCTCTCCTCTGGTCTTTATCTCTTTGCAAGTGCTTTCATTTCTTTCGCAATTGGGTGGCATCGTCTTTCATTGTGAATTTGCACTTGGGAAATGACCAGGATCGTAACAGTACTCTGTAATGGGTTTTCACTACTTATCGGAGCACTGCTAAATTTCTCGTACTCAGTATTCATTCTAAGCACTCTGTAAGTGCAGCACGCAGTTCACTTCTCAGTACTCATGCCGAGTACCTAGAGCTCCTGAGTCCTGCTCACCAGTATGTGCACTACTCTTAATACTTTTTGCAGTACTGCTAAGTGCCCAGTACTAAGACGCATGTCTAAGTACTCTGTAAGTGTACGGGGTTCGATTCTCAGTATTCAATACTCTGTACTCGAGCTCACAAGTACTGCTGGCTACCTTCTTCCCCCGAATACAACGTATGCTCACCATAGATGTATTTGGGGTATCTTTCAGTCTAAATACATCTATAATGGCCGTACGTTGTATTCGGGGGAAAGAAGGTAGTACGGGCACCCTTAGTACTTACTTCTGCTCACAAACGGGAACCTACGGCCAACAGCTGACAAGCACATGTCAGATCCTCATCATTCACAAAACCAAAAGATTTAAAAAGATGAAAACAAACAAATAAAATAAGAAATGGAATGAAAGCAGCAGCAACGTGGCGTAAAAAAGAAAAAAGAAAGCTCGCGTACAAGCTGCTACTCTAGTAATCCAGTTTGACACCTTCGGTTTGCCTTCGTCCTCCCTCCTTTCTTTTTCTTTTTTTGAGGGAGGGGGAGGGGAGAGGGGGGGGGTTGGGGGTGGAATGGGAGGACTGATTTTGATTTTAGGAAAGGAATCAGGTGCGCGCCTCAGCGCACGTCTGGCACACCTCGCGCATCGCACCCGATGCGGAGCAAAAAAAAAAAAAAAAAAAAAAA